GAGAGCATGAACGTTGCACACAAACACGAGACTGCTTGAATATAGCCCCAGTTCATGACGTCACCGCGCTGATCAGTGTATTTGGAAATTTTGGAACGAATCAACAGCATGGCGTCGATTCTTGACGTCATTAGCACTGGCCAGTATACTGGTTTATATTACGGAACACACCCTGTGATAAAATTAACATTACAAAATTAGCATTCGTTCTACAAAAATTAAATCATGCGGCCCAAGGACGAATTTTTGAAACCTCTTTCACGTATCGCATCGTCAAAGTTTCGAAATACAAAATTAAATATAACTTATTCAGTCTAGGCTGTTACAAGCACTTGTGAATGCCGAAAAGCTACGTCATCGGTTTGCAAATCTACGGGGGAAGACCTTGTACTGTGAAGAACCGGAAGGAAACTCAGCGGAGGCTGTTTTCTCTGTCTATATTATATAGAGTCGTCAAATTGAAAAATGACTTCAATAGGAGATAACTCATAAAGTCACTTTCCATTACATGAATGAATGTAAATGAGATAAAAATTATGGGATCTAAGCAGCGGATCTATCGGACGTAAAAACAAACTAGCTTTTTCCATACAAACTTAATGATTACGATACTTTACGAAGCTATCAAAAACTCATGCGTGGGCCTCAGGTTTTATGCGTTGCCCGCACGTCGCGTCGCTGTCGCCGTCGCCTCCGCGTCCGAACTCGCTTTTTCTAAGTGGATAGGCTTAGCTGGGCTGCCTTTAGCACTCGAAATGTCAATGAATTATAATAACTGGCATTCGCAAAAATCGTCTGACATCATTCACTGCAGAGCGTAATGAGAGTTTGAATGTGTTTATGAGTTATAATAACAGTTCTTATGACCAATAACATGTTAAAACGCTTTGTAATTTCGACGCATAATGACGTTAGATCAAAGAATTCTACGAAACGTAAATATGAAAATATTTTTTAAAGGCACGATTGTCGTCTTCTATAAGACAACAAAATATCTAATCAAAGTGTAGTGTTGTTCCCATCAGAAAAATGCACTTAAGCATTTGGAAACAGGTCTTGAAACCGGTTTCTAAAATACCGGTAAATAAAGGATAATTCCGGTTTTTAGTAAAGGTTTCGTTTGGAGTGCGTCCAAAATGAAAGCGATACCTAAAACCTTAATAAACCTGTTTAATCCAGAGCGACACGTGCACGCGTCGGCATCGCTTGAAGTTTTGTTTGATCTAATTAAGTCACAACTTGTTAATGCTCAGAGATTAATGCATTTATTGACACGTTTGCTAGCGTCTAGTGAGTCAAGTTATTCATTTTGTAGTTGTGTATTTATTTCAGCCGTCAGTAAGAGCGAAATGAAACCCTTTGAAAACCGCTAAATTGGTTGAAAACCTATTTGATTTCGCTTTTTTTGGAAAACCAGTTTTTTTTAAGGTTAAGGTAGAGCCAAACCTAAAAAAAACGCTCCTAATGTACTTGACACTGATTTAGGTTTGAAATTTAACCGGTAACCAAGCCCTGTATGGAAATATCTACATACAAATTGATACAAATAAATATGTTTTTATTTATTTTTAAGCATTTAACTGCTGGATGTTTAAATCTAAAGAAAAGTTTTACTAGAAAAATTCCACGCGGACCAGGCAGCGGACGGGACTCGAACCCGCACCCTTCGCAATCCGGGCGAATGCACTGGCCAATTATGCTACCGCGGCCCTGATGAATCACAGATTATAAACTATGAAACATCATCGTTCATGGTAGAGGGCGGTATTCTCAAAGGAAGGATATGAATTACAAAGGTTGAACGGTTGCTCACATTTGACCTCACTAGTAATCATTGTAAGCGGCACCAAAGTGATATATTGGCTGGTAAATAAATCTGTATATTAACTAAGCCAGAATTCCTTGGTATGTCGGAAAGTAATATACCAAATTTTTAAGCACCCAATTCGTCAAAGCTTGATTATATTTTCACAAATATAACACTACTAAAAGAAGAAGTGGAGTCCAGTCGCGAAGATAGATGATGCGGCAGGAGGTTCCTTCCATCCTCACCTTGCCGGCCTGAACCCAATCCCCTAGATTGCGGAACCCTAAAACCTTATTTCTGATTCTAAGGCTCGTATTCCAGAACGACAAATAAATGTCGATCTTTACATAAGTACAGTTAGAAAGGGATGTCGCTTTTTCCAGATGATATTAAAAATTTACTTAGACATAAATTTTAAAATTGTTTATCATTATGGCTGCTTGACTGTTTTTAAAATGTTGGTACTACTGACATTCAGTCAATATGAGTGCGCTATATTTAATGAATTGTATTAATGTTATAATAATTTTTATTGTATGCTTTGAGATTTTTAATTTTATATGTATTTGATAGTTTTATCTTTCCTTTTGACATTATTATTATCTTATATTATATTTACCAAAATAACATCTCAATTATGTACACAATTTTGTCAGATAAATATTGTTATTATTACCGTGTCAATAATTTAAAGCAAACAACGGTGCTTGCTTCCAAATTATCAAGCTCAGGTGATGTAATCAGGAACTCGGTAAACATTGTATGGGGCTAACGCGAAGACGATGTCCGATAGCCTAATCGATAAATCGATAGCAACGGAAACAATCTTTAACCCCATATATGTAAATTCTTCCATTAAGCTCCGAAGTTATTTCTCAGATCTTCACTAAATTAATATGGTACTATCTCGCTAAAAAACTCTTCCAAACAAGAAAAGAATCATCGAAATCGGTTTACAAATCTCAAAGATATACGCGTACAACAATTTAAAAAAAATGGGTGCGTGTACTTATGTAGGCGCGTGAGAAGTTATCCTTCTTTGGCATCGTTTAAAATTAGTTTTTAATTGCATGCAAATAATTAATTACAATAAATTAATAAAAAGTCTGGAAAAGGACGAAGTCAATAAAGTTCAGTTTTAATTTGAAAAAATAAATAAATAATCAAAATATTCAATTAAAATCGCTACTGAATATAATTTATTAGGACATATGTGATTTGCACTTGTATGAAACTCAAACACGTATTCCGAATATACAAACTAAAAACATGTGGATAAATATTATAAATATGAATACCTATAACTGTTACTTTATTACAAAAAACAAAGATGTGGTTTTTGGTTCTACTACACCAATGGTCAAGAGATGGCGCTGTAGTCTCCTGAATCGCGCTTTGGTTCCGTTGTTCTAGATTAATAAATACTTTTTGTTACTTTATTACAAAAAATTAAGATGTGGTTTTTGGTTCTACTACACCAATGGTCAAGAGATGGCGCTGTAGTCTCCTGAATCGCGCTTTGGTTCCGTTGTTCCAGATTAATAAATACTTTTGATAGGCCTTCACAATGCAGTCGTTAGCACCCACTAAATAGAGTTTCTATTTCTATTTTGTTGGTAGATTTTCTTAATGTGCGGTAATTTTTGTGTTACAGTGATGCGCGCGCATCTTAAAATTTCACTCTCATCATTTTTTCATAACGCGCCTAAAGAAGTATAACTTCAAAAATATAATTATGAATTGTGAACCGACTTCAAACAGAAGGAGGTTGCCCGTGCCAAATCGGGGCGGATCACTAGTTTCGTATTTAAGTAGGTAGTTAGTCAGTTAGTTCTTCAGGGCGGTTTCCGCACTTAGTCCTAATTATTGGACCATTGTGCGTGTCTCAAAAACATTCCCGTTTACTCCAGCCAGCCTATATCGGTCCAGAAAGAAAGCAGCCTTGGTAGACTGCTGCAAGCTTCCGGAAACGATTCTGGCGACTGGAGAAGTCGTGCCCGTTGGTCGGCCACACTACTGCATTCCATGATGACATGCTGTGGCGTTTCTTCTGCCTCCATGCATCATCAGGACAATGACCAGTCAGGGATCCTATAATCCTGCGAAGTTTGTCCCTATTTAATCTGGTAAGGTATATAAGTAGGTAGCTTGGTAACCTCCTAGGTTTTGGTCTGAGTATCTCGTGCGGTGCGGGCTGGCGTCGTGGCGGCCACCCAGCACAGGCGCAGCCCCGTTCGCCGCGCTGCTCGGTCGGTCGTTAGCCCGAATACAATTGCCAATGGAATTCGGGTAAACGACAAAGCTTACACTTTGTGTAACGATGCACGTAGTCGATTACGCCCGTATTCGGGCAGTTTCCATTTTGGTTACCCGGCACCGTCTTCTAGCCCATATTCCAGTGTAAATACTGCTTCAAGTGCCCGAATTCGAGTAGTGTCTTTCCTGCACCCGAACGGGCTAACGACCAAGTTCAATCGAACCATAACTCACTTAAATTTGTTCCACTATTGGCACTAATTATTTTATATTACATTACTGTAAGCACTCAATATTCTCTCATGAAGTTTAATGTTGTCGTTTAACAGGAGCATTACTTAATACAGTAACCCCGTGAGCCAATTAGGGAGTATTAGTCCGCACCGACAGATCAAGGTAGCAATGCCCCATTCCGGATTATGAACAGTCGAGATAATTATGTAAAGTCGATGAAAGCGGTTTACAAATCTCAGAGATATACGCGAACAACAATTAAAAAAATATATAATTATGAATTGTGAACCTCCTTTTGTTTGAAGTCGGTTAAAAATAAATTTCAGCCGTGCCAGACGGGGCGGATCACTAGTCTTATATATATATAAAACTCAAAGGTGACTGACTGACATAGTGATCTATCAACGCACAGCCCAAACCACTGGACGGATCGGGCTGAAATTTGGCATGCAGGTAGATGTTATGACGTAGGCATCCGCTAAGAAAGGATTTTGATCAATTCTACCCCCAAGGGTCAAAATTTTGTCAATTTTAAACCGATCGGGCTGAGACTTTGCATGCAGGTATAAGAAGAATCACAGATGAATGTCATTGTGTATAATACAAGTCTGAGAACAAAAACTGTAGTCTACACTTCAGCTCTATACCGAAGCGAAGCGAGGGCGGGCCGCTAGTTTCGTATATAAGTAGGTAGCTGGCTAACCTCCTAGGTTTTGGTCTGAGTATCTCGTGCGGTGCGGGCTGGCGTCGTGGCGGCCACCCAGCGCAGGCGCAGCCCCGCTCGCCGCGCTGCTCGCCGCCTCCGCTCCCGCCTCCGCTTCCGCCGCCGCCGCCGCTCCCGTTGCCGACACCGCTGGCGCCACCGCCTGCGCTCAGCGGCGCTACCTCCGCGCGCGGCGTGCACGCATCTTCACTGCAACAACATTATAATGGTTGTTTTCCAATTATAAATAAATAAATATTTCCAACACTCACACCAATTAGCCTAGCCCCAAAGTAAGCACTGTAAAGGCTTGTGTTATGGGATACTAGTGTAACGGATAGAATACATATATTGTACATATATAAGTATATTTATATGAAATACATATTAAATATCCATGACTGGAGTACAAATGCTCGTATTCATCACACAAACATCTGCCCCCACCGGGATTCGAACCTAGGACCTCGAGTCGGCGACGCCATGAAACCCGGCGTACAAACCAGTCGGCCACGGAGGTCGTCATAATTCGTCGTCGGTCGTCAATTACAGAGCATAATGCGACTCAGTGGCGCACAATGCCGAATTATGCTGATGCTTAATTGGAACGTGAATTAGTTTTCAAATGCACCAGAAGAGTGCGCTAAGTTCAGTGTTGAAAAAAAGGCAATGTTTGTTCCTTCATCCATACTTATATTTATTTTTTTAACACACTTTGATTATTTAAAAAGGAAACTGCCATCCGCCTGGAATACCTCTCAATTCTCGACCCTTAGGATCTCGCCGTCCAACAGCATACACACTCAAAAAAAACGGAAGATTAAGTGAAGACAGGATATTTAAAATATAATTTGTTATAAAGAAATCGATTGAATAAATGAAAAATCATTTATTCAGTCTAGGCTGTTACAAGCACTTGTAAAGGTCAAAAAGCTACGGCATCAGTTCGCAAAACTACGGCGGGAGACCTTGTACTGAGAAGAACCGGCAAGAAACTCAGCAAGAGGTGGTGAAACTTGAGGTGAAAATTCTTTCATATATTTTTGATAGATAGATTAATACTTTATTATAACACCAATTACATAATTCCAGAATCAGAATCAGAATTTTATTTGTGAAACATAGGTTAGTATACATGGTATCCATGACATTAACAAACAATAAATTATAATTGGCGGTCTTATCGCTAAGAGCGATTTCTTCCATACAACTGTGAGTACAAAAAGTTATACAGAGACTGTAGGTTTTTGATTAATTAGATTACAGAAAAGGTAATAATAAACAGTCCCTGGTAAGCACTCTTGAGGAGATGACAAAATATATTTTATCTAAATTATAATTACTAACCTACTGCTCCCTTCGTTAACATTCGGTCAAAGTTAATATCTTCTAATATATAAAACTAGCAAACCAGTGAACCAAATGTTCACCAAAACCTGATTTAAAAAAAATGTATTTAATTAATTGAGAACTTCGGAGATTTTGTGTGGTTTCGTTTGAAATTCGTGATTTCTCGAAAACCGGAAGTGCTACGTTACTCAAATCCGGTTTGTAGTCTTATCAGACTATTCTTAACTTATAACTTAAATATTCTCTTTATCTATCTCTTACGGTTTGGCCGCTGAAACAGCATCACAGACGGACGGACTTGTCTAATAGTTAAGAGATTCTCGTGTCGCGGTGTTTGTGGTTAAACTCCTCCGAAACGGCTTTCCCGATTCTCATGAAATTTTGTGTGCATATTGGGTGGGTCTGAGAATCGGGCAACATCTATTATTTATCCCCCCCTAAAGTTTTTTTTTTCAATTTTACATATTTTTTTTATGATACAGCATATTAGTAAAAACATATAACCCTGAATTTCCTTTTTTGAATAAATTAAACCATCAACCCTTTACAATCAACCCCTATTTTTTAATGGCGGTACAAAGTTCGCTGAGTCAACTAGTAAAAATATATGATTCTTATTAAACCTAATTATTTGTTGTTAATGGCAATAGAACACTATGTAAAAGTGCCGATTGATGGACGGTATTACGGAATGTTAAAACTACAGTACCCTTAGCACAAACCGTCATCGAATTCGAATAGTTAACGAGTGTTAAATGCCAATGTCAAATTTTGTATGGAAACTTGAACAGCAGCGCCACAAAGTACGTAACGAGAACTAAAAATCAGTACACATTTGACAATGATATTTCGGACTCGCAAACCTTACGAATTCGATATTGGATCATGGTAAGGGTTAGGATGTAGTCTTTTTAAGTTTTCCGTCTATATCTTTATCTTTTCTTTCTTTCAGAATCTATATATATATAAAACTCAAAGGTGACCGACTGACATAGTGATCTATCAACGAACAGCCCAAGACACTGGACGGATCGGGCTGAAAGGACATTGTTCAGCGTCCATACATAGTTAGCCTAAGAACCAACAATCATGAAATATTATTTTCTAGGTTCATAATCGTAAGTAAATGACTGTAAAAACAAAGATTATTGACGGACACTTCTGAGAACTTCAATTATTAGGAAAACTAATTTTTTTTGAGGTTATGTGTAATATTCAATGAAACATAGGTCAACCTATGAATTTAGTATTAACTCAGTATGAAGTGAATTAATATTACACCTAGTTAATTCTTTTTATTCGGTGCGATTTTAAAGAATAACTATTAGGAAAAACTTGGTTAGGTAGGAATCATGAATAAAATAAAAACTGTAGTTTTGCTTCTTATTTACTGACTATTTTTCACATAGTTGTATCATATTGTTTATTGTATTTATTTGTATATCACATGTAGGTATATTGTGTAAATATGCAGCGTGAATGTGTATCAGGTGTTCTTGAATAATTTGGCAGTATGATCCTCTCAGGATATTGTGGCACAGGTTCACTAGCACTTGGTAGTAATGGCTCTGCTCTTTGGTAACATCGATGGCATATTAGATAGCCGAAATAGTTAAATTAAAGGAAAAATAATCGCAAATAAACACACACAACAGGTAATCCGAAACGAGAATGCACTTTCCGGTTTAGTAAACTACTCTTTGGAATCACAGATCACTATAAATGGTTTGGAATGCACGAATGCCACAGATTACTACGAATGCAAACTGCATGCACCAGAACCACAGAGTAACGAGTTTTATGCCGGCCCTTCACTTCACAACAGTTTGTCCTTGTCATGCTTAATAAGGAATGAAAAGGACACACTGATATCATGTTTTAAAATAGCAAATACGAATAGCCAAGTGAAGTCCCGGCATTAGGAAGAAAGAGTGTTTTATTTGCAGTGCTGCCATAGATTATGGCAGCTAATGGTATTTATTGTCTCAGATTATTTTTTAAATTTTTAATTTAGCTTACTTATCTGGAAGTGTCCGTCACAATCCAAATACTGATAATTATCGCAAAAAATATACTAAGAATTATCATAAATGCCAAATTGGTGTTGGTTCTTAGGCCAATTTTAACATTGTCCTTTGGCATGCAGGTAGATGTTATGACGTAGGCATCCGCTAAGAAAGGATTTTGATCAATTCTACCCCCAAGGGGATAAAATAGGGAATGATAGTTTGTATGAAACTTTGTCAATTTTGAACCGATCGGGCTGAGACTTTGCATGCAATATAAGAAGAATCATAGATGAATGTCATTGTGTATAATACAAGCCTGAGACTGTAGTCTACACTTCAGCTCTACACCGAAGCGAAGCGAGGGCGGGCCGCTAGTATTTAATATATCTAAAGCGACATGTTACATTAATAAAGTTAGCTTTAAATATTAACAGATGTGTTCATGATCTTTCAGTGAAAATCACAACAGAACACAGTTGACGTATTGTAGTTTGATCGAGAATCGAATGCAATTTGGTATGCAGCGCACATGCGCACACTCACAATGAATTCCCTGTGCGCGCAGCGTATGGCATAGTGGGCTACAGCCAGGGGGAACGAGGGACCACTGAGTGTAGGGTGGCCAGATTATTTTTGAAGTTATACTTCTTTAGGCGCGTTATGAAAAAATGATGAGAGTGAAATTTTAAGATGCGCGCGCATCACTGTAACACAAAAAATTAATTACTTTTGTGTTTACCGCACATTAAGAAAATCTACCAACAAAATAGAAATAGAATCTCTATTTAGTGGGTGCTAACGACTGCATTGTGAAGGCCTATCAAAAGTATTTATTAATCTGGAACAACGGAACCAAAGCGCGATTCAGGAGACTACAGCGCCATCTCTTGACCATTGGTGTAGTAGAACCAAAAACCGCATCTTTATTTTTTGTAATAAAGTAACAGTTATAGGTATTCATATTTATAATATTTATCCACATGTTTCTAGTTTGTATATTCGGAATACGTGCTTGAGTTTCATACAAGTGCAAATCACATATGTTCTAATAAATTATATTCAGTAGCGATTTTAATTGAATATTTTGATTATTTATTTATTTTTTCAAATTAAAACTGAACTTTATTGACTGTGTCCTATTCCTGACTTTTTATTAATTTATTGTAATTAATTATTTGCATGCAATTAAAAACTAATTTTAAACGATGCCAAAGAAGGATAACTTCTCACGCGCCTACATAAGTACACGTACCCATTTTTTTTTTTATTTATGGTACGGGAGCCGGTAACACTGAAAGTCCCGTCATAGCGGAATCAAAAAAAAATTAAATAAATAAAACATAAGTATAGGAATATATTAAGCACGGTATGCGTGGATTCGTATTGTAGAAACAATGTAAAAAAAATTAAAAAAAATGTTTTACCGTCATCGCGGTTTTTTTTAATGTATAAAAATCATGCAAACCAATTTTTTTGCCGGAAGGGTCTGGCATAAATGAAATGAAATGTCATTTATTCAGTCTAGGCTGTTACAAGCACTTGTGAAGGTCAAGAAGCTACGCCATCGGTTCGCAAAACTACGGCGGGAGACCTTGAACTGAGAAGAACCAGCAAGAAACTCAGCAAGGGCTGTTTTTTTCTCCCTGTATTGTTATATTGTTATATACGTATTTGAAGTGTGTAAAGAGGGCTAAAATTTCTCCATAATGCCGGAAACTTTTTTTTTAAATAATGTTGATAGTGCAAGATTTGAATTATTCTTGAAATTTTATGCAAGCACCAGTGACAACGAAGAATTTTACAAAGGTAATGCAATTAAATTTTACTCCTGCATATTCGTAGTTATCTTCG